TTCTGTCCCCTTTTCGGAGCCAGTGTAACCACCTTCCACCACAGATAAGAGACTGGCCCAATGCCACTGGGTGCTGGTTCCTCAGTCAGTCTGGATTTTCATGTTTCCTGCTCTTTCTCCTCTCAGGGCCCCCATGCTGCTTGGGCCTTGTACCAGTTGAAGAGGTGGACAGCCCTGACTCCTGCCAAGTGGGGGGAGGAGACTGGTGTCCCCAGCACCCCACGGGGGCCTACATCGGACAGGAACCTGGGATGCAGCTCTCGCCGGGGCCACCGGTGCATGTATCTTTTGAAACACCACCTCCCACAATTTAGGCAGAAGTCGGTATTCCAGAAAGACTATATATTGTTTTTTCTTTCTTAAAAAAAACAGAGAAAATTGGTATTTATTTTTCTATTATAGCCATATTTATATATTTATGCACTTGTAAATAAATGTGTATGTTTTATAATTCTGGAGTGACTTAAGGAATCCTATCCGCTGAGGTTGGAGAGGGAAAATAAAGAAGCTGTCACCTAACAGAAATCACCCAGAAAAGCACCGCACAGGCTGGCGCGGGACCGACGCCTCACCTGGGGCCTCTGCAGCAGCAGACAAGGCCCACAGATAAGCTGGCCAGAGGAAGGATCCCAGGCATGTGGCTCATGAGGACCATGAGGGAAAAGCAAGGGTCACGGTATCACAGCCCGGAGACACCCACACAGCTGGCTGGATCCGGTGCTACTGGAAACATTTTCCTAAGATGGCCATGAGAACAGACCAAGATGTGTACAGCACTATGAACATTAAAAATCCTTCCAGAATCAATAATCCGTGGCAGCATATCTCTGTAAAAACAAACACTGTAACTTCTAAATAAATGTTTAGTCTTCCCTGTAACCTTCAACTGAGTCATGTCTGAGTCAGCATTTTCTTTAGATGTTAGAATTCAGTCTCTGAGTATTTGAAGAAAATACCCACTTGCCATATTTTCAGGTTCACCAGATGTGAGATCTGGAAAAGGTACCAAATGTTGCTCTTTTTTTTTTTTTTTTTTAAAGAGTGAATGTCAGTTGTGCTTGGATTAATGCAGAACACATTACTGTTTAGTCCAGAAGGAAGCTGTTGTACAACAGACCAGGAAAAACAGATTCACAGTTCTCTTACCAACTGGACTTGAGATGAAGTTCAGGTCATATTGAAGAAATAAAACTAATCTTTTTTATATAGGTGTATGTTGAAGACCAAATATTTTCTCCAAAATACTATTTAGCTAAGTGCTGTGCCACACATGAACATATGGCGTGTGATAAATTCACTTCCCTCCTTTCTAAAGAGACACCAACACTGCCAGAGTAGTTGTTGACTCAATAGTTTAAAATCAACATTTACTTACTGTCATCCAACCAAAGGATCAAGCGTAGATTCTTTTTCAACTGAAATTTTAAAATATCTACGTGTGGAAGTGGAACTAGATGGAGACTGACACAATGAAAACTACACTTTTGAGTTTTGGGGCTGGGGAGTGCAGGGGGTGGGGCGTATTTTCTAAATTTCAGCAAAATTGAGTTATAGGTGAAATGCCACTTGAGACAATCTCGTTAAGCAGGGGGCAGACCCTGGCTTCCAAACATGAATTCTACAACTGGGGTCCCAGGGAAGCCTGGGGCATTGAGTCACTCTGACTGTTTAGTGCAAGTGCATCCTCTGCTGGCCAAAGTAAGTATAGCACCTGCCATTCCTCAGACTTTAGCTATTTGAGGGAAAAAGGATGCAAAAGTCAGAACTACTTATGGAAATACAGCATGGTTTTCAGGAAAGCAGAATTTAAAAAACATTTTTAAAAAAGGACTGTAAGGAACATGTAAATAAAAGGAAATGAGAAGCAGAGACGAGAAAAAATAAGATACTGTGATTTCAGACACGCCCAGAGCTCACTTCTGGAGTGGGCAGGGCTGACAGGCTCTCAACCATTGCTTTGCTATCCAGAGGCCGCCCCGCTCAACCTGAGCTGTAATTCACCTAGCCGCACTGGCTTTTACATTTTTTCCTTTTTTTTCTCCTTGATAATCTAAGGTAGTTGTCAAAATTAATTTTCGTGAACTTTACTGAAGTGATCTATGAAACATCTCCTTTCTGCATAGCACTGGAATCATAACACTGAATGGTTTTAGCTCTGAAGAAAAACTTAGCACATGGCTCACAGACCTCCCTAAGGGTGGGAGCCTGCTGTGGTGGGACAGGCTGACTGGCAGGCATGAGCAACTCCTTTACTCCAAAGTTGTGACAGAGGTTTTTTTCTTCCAATGCTGAGATTGATTATCGGTGATACTATGGATGGGAGTTCAGAATAACCAAGTTATATGAACAACTGACTCACAAGTAACTCAGTGTAGGCAGATTGTTGGCCTCACCCTTAGAGGTGAGGCCACTCCTCTGGGAGCATGGCAGGAGGCTGGCAAGTGTGCCAGGAGCAGAACAGCCTCCTGGCAGCCACCCCCTACCCGCCCCACCCATGCCACACCCTGCTGGTCCACTTGTGTTTGAAGCTTAACTTCCCAAAGACTCAGATGCTCTAACTTTAAGATGCTCTAACTTTACAGATTTAAGGCTGGAGGTATCACGCTACCTGATTTCAAATTATACCACAAGGCTACGGTAAGCAAAACAGCATAGTACTGGTACCAAAACAGAGATATAGACCAATAGAACAGAACAGAGGCCCTGGAGGCAACACCACACATCTACAGCTGTCCTATCTTTGACAAACTGGACAAAAGCAATGGGGAAAGGATTCCCTGTTTAACAAATGGTGTTGGGAAAACTGGCTAGCCATTTGCAGAAAGCAGAAACTGGACCCCTTCCTGACACCTTACACTAAAATAATCCATCTGGAGTTAAAAGACTTAAACATAAGACCTAACACCATAAAAACCCTAGAAGAAAACCTAGGCAAAACCATTCAGGACAAAGGCATAGGTAAGGGCTTCCTGACTAAAACACCAAAAGCATTGGCAACAAAAGCCAAAATAGACAAATGGGACCTAATTAAACTCCAGAGCTTCTGTACAGCCAAAGAAATAATCATTAGAGTGAACCAGCAACCAACAGAATAGGAAAAAGCTTTTGCAATCTACCCATCTGACAAAAGGCTAATATCCAACATCTACAAAGAACTAAAATAGATTTACAAGAAAAAAATCCATCCAAAAGTGGGCAAAGGATATGAACAGACACTTTCCAAAAGAAGACATATATGAGGCCAACAAACATGAAAAAATGCTCATCACTGGTCATTAGAGAAATGCAAATCAAAACCACATTGAGATACCATCTCACACCAGTTAGAATGGAGATCATTAAAAAATCGAGACAACAGATGCTGGAGAGGATGTGGAGAAATAGGAACACTTTTACACTGTTGGTGGGAGTGTAAACTAGTTCAACCATTGTGGAAGACAGTGTGGCGCTTCCTCAAGGACCTAGAAATAGAAATTCCATTTGACCCAGCAATCCCATTACTGGGTATATACCCAAAGAATTACAAATCATTCTATTATAAAGGCACATGCACACCTATGTTCATAGCGGCACTGTTTACAATAGCAAAGACCTGGAACCAACCCAAATGCCCATCAAGGATAGACTGGACAAGGAAAATGTGACATATATACACCATGGAATACTATGCAGCCATAAAAAGTGATGAGTTTGTGTCCTTTGTAGGGACATGAATCAATCTGGAAACCATCATTCTCAGCAAACTAACACAAGAACAGAAAACCAAACACCTCATGTTCTCACTCATGGGCTGGTGATGAACAATGAGAACACATGGACACAGGGAGGGGAGCATCACACACTGGGGTCTGTTGTGGAGGGCCAAGGGAGGGACAGCGGAAGGGGGATGGGGAGGTTGGGGAGGGATAACATGGGGAGAAATGCCAGATGTAGGTGACAGGGGGATGGAGGCAGAAAACCACATTACCATGTGTGTACCTATGCAACAATCCTGCATGATCTGCACATGTACCCCAGAACTTAAAGTGCAATTCAAAAAAAAAAAAAGACTAAGCCTGGAATCAAATTGAAATGAACCTAAAGCTATCAACATATTTTGTCCAATTCAAAATAAAGTAATTGAGTGTTAACTGTCTTGTCAATTCCCAAACATGAAAAATGAAGCCCTGAATATTAAGAACTAGTGACTTAATCTAGCTTAATTTGGGAATAAATAATTATCTCGATCAGTTTTACTCTCAGTTGAAATAAACACACATTGAATCCTGATGTGCCTCTTGCGTAGACTCTCGATTCATTCTTGCTGCAATCAGAATCATAGAATTTCAGAATGGGAAGGAACCTCAGAGCTTCTACCAATCCTTCATTTATCAGATAATGAAATAAGGCCCAGGAAGATAATGTAACTTCTCCTGATTCTCTACAACTACCAAGGGGATGGTATCCCTCAAGACCTTTCTCGGAGACCAGCCACTCTCTCCAGGCAGCTGCTACTTGTGGCCCCCACGAAGGCCCCTGCAACCCCAACCTGGTATTCACACCCTGTTCAGTCCCCTACCACACTGCACAGGGTCAGCCTGTGACCCATATGACAATAGTGACAGTATGTCACTTCTGAGCTTAGGCTGTAAAACGTAAAAGACTGTGGCTCTTGTGTGCGTCGTTCTCTCTTGCTCTCCCCCTCACTCTTGGATCACTTGCTCTGGATGAAGTCATGTCCTGAGCAGCCCTATGAAGAGGTCCACATGGCGAGGAACAGAGGCCCTGCCAAACGGCCAAGGGAGTGAATTTGTTAGTAGCCCCTCCAGCTCCAGCCAAGCTTCAGATGGCAGCAGCCCCAGCTCCCAGTGTGACTGCAACTCCATGAGAAACCCTGAGCCAGAACACCCGGCCAAGCTGTCCCCTGTTTCCTGGACCTCAGAAACCCTCTCACCCCTGGCTGAGATAAGTTTGTAAGTGTGAGGGTAATTTTTTACCACAATAAATAAGAAATTCGGAGCTATGAATAGCATACTTTTAAAAATACTTGAAAGGCACACATGGTTTAGGATATACAACACAGAAAGTGATTTTTTTTAAAAGTGGGTGCTCTCCAGTAGAGAAGTGACTGCATCAGAAATTAATGGTGACAAATGCAAACAATGATGTATTCTGACCTCTTAAATAGGAATATGAAAGAATCTTAGGAAGACAATAGGCCACCTCTAAGAATATTCTGATGTACAAAGAAAGCAAGTCCTGCTTCTAATTTTGGGGGGAGATTGACAGGCTAATCACAGGTGAGGAAGACTTGGCATTGCTGAGTTCCCTTGTACATTTATGCAAAGTTGCCTTCTTCACCCGCCCTTCTCAGTGACCAACTTATCCTGGGATAGCCTCCATTGAGTAACTCATTAATACAGAGCTCTTAATCTAACGAGCTATGCTGTTACTAACAGGACTCCAAATGTCCGTGAGATTATCCTTCAATGGCTACAGCCATGAGCCTCAATGAGAACCTACCGCCCCAACCAAAAGGATACTCTTACATTAGCTTAAAATCTTATGGGTAATCAAAAGTGATTGTTAAAGATGATCTCTAAATCTAAATCTATTTCGTTATCTCCTCCTCTGTATCAAACCCTGCAAATGGCCCAAGTAAAACCTGAAAGACAATGGCAGAGGACATGAGAAACGATGGGGAAAACTTAGAATTCTGATGGAGTTGCAGAAAGCTTTAGAGAAAAGCCTCCTTGTTGACCGTTTTATAAAGCTCGCTCCTCTGCTCCACTCAGAACCGAGGAGCCTACAAAAACTGTGGGCAAGCCAAGAAGGCTGGTTATTTTCCTGCTTTCTGCCAACCCAAAGCAAACTGCTCTGCCATGTCTGTTTGTATTTCCTGAATCCTGAGCCCTCAAATAACTGCTTTATGAAGCCTACCATGCCAACACTGAAATTTGCATTTCTATTCTAAGATACTATTGGCAAAAGGTCTTTTTCTTCTGCATTATCTCAGAGTACACTTAAAAACATCTAAGTTTATTTTCTAAGGATCAAGAAAACAAAGCTTTCTCATTAATTGCTGAATGATAGTTTTTCTTGCCAATGGCTAAAAATTCAGCATACCCCCAAATAGAATTTTCCTAAAACAAAATACATTACAGATGCTTTGCTGCAATGATGAGACACAGCTTTCTGAGACTTCATATTCAATCTAGTAGTTCCCAAACATCTGAAATGATTCCATTCTACAACAGAGGTTGGGTGCTGCAGTCGGTTCTAAAATAACCAAATTGTAGAGCGATTCTTAAAGCTACATGACTGGATCTGGTTTTAGACTTTCAGACAAAATACTTTAAAATCACTTTAAAATGATAAGATTGTTGCAGGTGACAAGGAGATAGAGCTTTGGATGAGTTATGTGAGAAATCATGCATGGGTTTGCAAAAACAGCAAACTCAGAGGTCCATGGGCTACATCTCATTCTCTTGTGGAGACTGAATGGGTGGGAGGATAAGGCCGCCTTTCCTACGCAAAAGAGCAATCTCCTCCTTTAAGGCCGAAATCCTTTCCGCCTGGAGTTGGATCAGTTCAGTGACCTCCTCTCTTGCCACAATATCTGCTTCTCGAGGGCCCTGGAAGGCATTGCCCTGTTGAAAGAAAACACCTCCCCGTTGAAGCAACAATTGGCATGTGAAAAACTCCACATCCTTATACTGTGTATCTGCGATGAGTGCTGGCCTGACAGTCACCCTAAACAGCCACTGCTTTCTACTCTTAGGAGCCTTAAACTCCTCCGCTAAAATCTCACCATTAGAAATGTGTGCCTTTGGACTAATGAACAACTCAAGTGAAAATCCTCTTTGGATGCATGCACTTTAAGCTAGCTATCAGTCAGTCATTAGAGAGCTCATCTCTGGAATAATAACTGTCTTTCTTTTTCTGGACAGCCTGTATTTTGGTTCCCAGAATGACATCTTCTCTTCCCTCATCCGATTTCTTTCCCCAACCAGCTGACTCCTACTTGGGTTTCACACATCATTTTCAGGGAGGCCTTCTTTGCCCCGTGGGCTAGGTTAGGATTTTCTGCTTTCCGTTTTATTGAAACATCCATTATACATATACCTCACTATAATTTACAGAATGAACCATATAATATTTATGATATTTGACAATTTTTAAATCTAAAAGAACGGCAATTTAATACGGTATGACCGAAATGCTTGATACCTATCTTTCTGGCTAGATCCTGTCTTTTAGAGACAAAGCCTCACCACTCTGTCCAATACCTGCCCTAGTGCTTTCTGCATCAGTAGATGCTCAATAACATTTGAATGCATGAATACATCTGTGAGAGGAAAGACATAATACTTGCATGGTGCCCACTCTGTGGAAGGTGCTTTGCAGATGCTCTCTCATCTAATCCCCAAAACAACTCTGAACTGAGTTGTATCATTCCGGTTTTACAGATAAGGCCACTGCGACTCAGAGGGTCATTAACGAGCCAAGTCAAGCTGGAAGCAGGGTTAGAAACAGGTTGCCTGATGCTAAAGTCCACACTTTTTCTATACTCCTATGTACTGTAGCAGACCTTCATAGTAAGTGTTACTCAATACCCTCTGCCTCTCCTCCCTTGCTCACCTTTTTTTTATTAAGTTCTGGGGTACATGTGCCAATCTTGCAAGATTGTTACATAGGTATACACATGCCATGGTGGTTTGCTGCATCCACCTCCCCTGTCACCTACATTAGGTATTTTTCCCAATGTTATCCCTCCCCAACCTCCCTACCACCTGCTATCCCTCCCCTAGCTCCCCACCCCCCAACAGACCCCAGTGTGTGATGTTCCCCTCCCTCTGTCCATGTGTTCTCATTGTTCAACACCCACTTATGAGTGAGAATATGCGGTGTTTGGTTTTCTGTTCTTGTGTCAGTTTACTGAGAATGATGGTTTCCAGATTCATCCATATCCCTGCAAAGGACATAAACTCATCCTTTTCTATGCTGCATAGTATTCCATGGTGTATATGTGCCACATTTTCTTTATCCAGTCTATCACTGATGGGCATTTGGGTTGCTTCCAAGTCTTTGCTATGTAAACAGTGCTGCAATGAACATATGTGTGCATGTGTCTTTATCGTAGAACGATTTATAATCCCTTGGGTGTATACCCAGTAATGGGATTGCTGGGTCATAATGTTATTTCTATTTCTAGATCCTTGAGGAATTGCCACACTGTTCTCCACAATGGTTGAGTTAATTTACACACTCACTTTTATTTTAAGGGCCGTGAAAGCTAAACACTAACCTTACACATTTTCTCTTCCAGCTAGAGGGAGCTATGTAGCTATAATCTGAAACTTTTGCTTCTTAATAAAAGGGACTGAGGCTGGTGCATGGATGTGAAACATAGGAGCTGAAGCAGCTGTCGTGTGACTTTGAAGGAAACTTTGGGAAAATCACAGAGTTACCGGCTCTGGCATCATGGGCCTACAAAACCAAAGCCTGTACAGTCATTCTCCCTCCAGACTTCTTGCCAAGTGAGAAAAATGACTCCTATTTATTTAAGCTACTCTCAATAGGGCTTTCGGTTACTTGCAGCTAAAAGCATGCCTGATACACCAACGCATGTTCAGTCATTCCCATTGGTTACTTTGAAGTCTCCTAACTTTCCCCTCCTTCTCACCAGATTCAATCAAATTTTGGCTATTCTTACTTTAAAATGTCTTTTGACATTTGACACATTTTTGTTGTCATCAACTATATTCCAATGCATGCCTACATCATTGTTAAGAAGCAACGGTCAATTGTAAGAAGCAATGGAGTCAGCGTTGGAGGCAGACAGACCTGAATTTCAAAACTAACTTCACCACGCATTAGCTCTGAGAGCTTCAGCAAGTTACTGAACTCCTCTGAGCTTTAGAAAGTAGTGTTTTGAGGATTAAATGAGATATCCTATGTGAAGAGACGATGCATGTAAAGATATTCTGTGTAAAGTGACAGATACTAGTAATTTTCTCTCCCATTCAACTGATCTCCTGCCTCTAAGCTTTTTCCTCTCCAATGTATCTGGACTGATCAAAGCGCATCAAGTCAATAAGTGTTGACTGACTGCTCAGTCTGTGAAGATTTGGGTTAGGCATTAACCTTGTCAAACACTGCCTTGATCTTTCATTTACAAGTTACTTGTAGAAAAAGACCCCTGAATATTCAAATTCTAGTCTTCCTTTCACATCTAATCTTCAATTATAAGCCTTCTAAATCCTTCTAATTCACATTTCATGGAATAAACAGCATTACTTCTTACTTTAAAACTTTTGCTTAGACCAGTGATTCTTAAACTCTAGCATGCTTCAGAATCCCCGGGAAGGCCGGTTAATGCAGACTGCTGGGCTCTCCCCAAGGGCTTCTGAAGCAGTACAACTGGGTTGGCACCCTAGGACCTGCATTTCAAACAAGTTCCCTGGTGAGGCTGATGCTCTTCTTCAGGGGACCAAACTGTTAGAACACCTAGCTTAGACCATTCCCAGGGTGCTGAAGGAAAACACAAAGCAAAGAAGACCAAGGGAAACAGCTGATCTTTTTGCAGATAATATTGTAAGTATGTAACATAGAGTTTAGAATATGCCATACATGTGTTAAGTCCCTAGAAGGCAAGACTTGGATTGGGTAAATATTTATTATCGACCACACACACTGTATTAAGTGCAATGTTAGGCTGACTAAATATTAGATAATAGCAAGTTGAAACCCACACAAAGTAACAAGCATTTAAATAAGATAACAGGGTAGACTTCACCATTCAAGATGCCCACTTCAAGTCAAATGAAATAAACAGATATTGGAAATAGATGTTTGACGCCAAACTCAGGGAGTATAATGGTGTCATTATTTATACCTAAGTAACCTTACCTCTCCAGGACCAAGGCAATTCTATTGATAAGTACTTATATGAGTTCATGGCACCCAAGAGGCATTCAATAAAGCTAGTCCCTCAGGCCCACTGTAACGTGACTAACACCAACTCAGTGTCCTTAGGGATGCAGTTGGCCCGGAAGTGGTCCAAGATCAAGCAAGTTTGTTTAAATGCTTAACATTCTTGTGAATAAGCTACCTTTAACAGAGCTTCCTCAATTCTGAAAAAGGGTCTGAAGAAAAAGAACATACCTGCTGATTCTGTAGCGTATTCAACCGAGAATCAAGTTTCTTCTTTTCAATACACAAATCATTCATCTGATAAAGCTTTCTGGTATGTTCTTTTGTCTTCATCATCAGTTCCCATCGCATTTGGGCAATTTTTTGCTACCAGGGTAGAAAGATGCAAAATAGATGTAGTAAGAGAAGAAATAAAGAAAAATAAGTGTCCAGATTTGGTGAGAATCATCAGGCAAATGGAGCAATGTGCACACATGAAATATAATCAGAAGCCAATGTGAAAATGCAACACACAACTGCATTGGGCCTGGTTTGATTAAAGATAAGAATGTAAGTATGCTCGAGAATAGGAGTAGGCATAAATAAGATAGAGATGGGCATCACTGTATTCTTGAAGAATGAAATTAGTATGCATACTGATTGCTGGTACTCATTACTTAAAAGGAAGGATGATAATTTAAGCAGCTAACTTTTCTACGTTGCTCTTTCCCCAGTCTTGGCCCGGGATCCTTAAGGTTGATGGCTTGAATGGCCATACATCTGTATAATGGCTTTCTTTTGTTTTCTTGTTGCTCCATCAGTTGCTCACTGCAATCTCGAGCTTTTGGGCTCGAGTGATCCTCTGCCTAAGCCTCTCAAGTAGCTGGGACTACTGGTGTGCAACACCACACCCAGCTAATATTTTATTTTTTATAGAGACAGGGTCTCACTATATTACCCAGGCTTCCAGAAAATTATTTTAGATTGCATATATTATCTCCAGCATTCCCTTAATAGGGACCAGTCCCACTGACATGAACACTATTTGCTTCTTTAAACTACAGTGGTCCATCTTAGATTAGAAAAGTTGAGATGGGGCCACTGGACAACACAGCACTAGGAAGCACTCCTCCTACCCCATCTGCTAATGAAATAAGACAGGAAACTGGAGGCGTCATCATGATTTGCGGACTTAGAAGATCTTTGTCAAAGCTCCTGCCTCTGAATCAGGCTGGAACCAGGGCACGGCTCATGGTTCTCATCTCGTGGCTCAGGGAACAATATGTAAGCATTAACATCCTCTAAGAGTCTGTCAGCCAAATAGTCTATGCCGTGTTACAAAATTTATTACTTAGAGGTGTTTCATAATTTCCAAATTGGTACAGCATACAAAAGCCATCAGTAATACAATTCGAGCCTGAGAGGATAGCTGCTCCATTTCTAAAGCTGTCAGAGCATTTATAATTTTTTCAAAAATTAAGCTTCAGGCATACATGTACAGGTTTGTTACTTCGATATATTGTATAATAGTGAGGTTTGGGTTTCTAGTGGACCCATCACCCAAATAGCGAACCCTGTACCAAATATGTAATTTTTCAACCCTCACCACGCCCTCCTCCCTGCTTGGGGAGTCCCCAGTGTTTGTTATTTTCATCTTTGTGTCCACATGTACCCATTGCTTAGCTCCCACTTATAAGTGAGAACATGCAGTATTTGATTTTCTGTTTCTGAGTTATTTCATTTAGGATAATGGCCTCCAGCTCTATCTGTTTCTGCAAAGGACATGATTTCATTCTTTTTATGGCTGCATAGTAATTCATGGTATTCCATATACATATACATACGCACAGCATATTTTCTTTATCTGACTGGTGTGAGATGATATCTCATTATCTCATTGTGGTTTTAATTTTCACTTCTCTGGTTAGTGATATTGAGCATTTTTTAATATGTTTTTTGTCTGCAGAGCATTTATACATTAAAGTAGGCCTCAAAATGAGATCTCTCCATAATCTTTCATCCATTTCACATCATATTTATATGCACCCTGGGCCCCAAAACCTAGTGCTGGTGCTCTCACCCCAAGATAAACAAATCCCTCTAACTAAGTGAACAGGAAGGAAGCCGAGACAGGCCTAAGATCCCGAGGCAGCCAAAGGGGGTCCACGGACCAGCTCCAGATGCTTCACAGGTACCTCTTCCAGCCCCCTGGAATTTCTTGCCTCCAGTCAGATTCAACCAAAGATCACCTGCCCTCTCCCCCTTACCTCCCACATCTTCATCTCCTTCGCATTCGCTAGCTCCTTTCGAAGTTTTCTGATCTTCAGTTCTTCAAGTGTTGTATTAACAGAAAGTGTCTGAAGGGCTTCTAGGTTTACCACACGGCCAAACTTGCTGATCATGAGTTGACGGACTGTTTCCTCCATTTCTAAAAGAAGACAGTCACTGGCTCAGGTTGTTCAATAGCTCCCATTGTTATAAATGAACACCAGGAACAGTAAAGTTCCAAGGAACTGCTTTTGCAAGACGGTGAAAGATTTTATGTCATCAGTGATTTTTCTTCTGTGACTTTTTGCCTACTGCTTTCCTCACTTAAAATGCCAATTCAGTACTGTCTTTTCACCTTCCGAATCCTGTGTGAAACTGACTCATTGTTCCCAACTGGCTTACACACTTTGCATTTTTTTTCAAATATAGAGCTTTACAGCATCTAGTATTAAGAATAGAGCAGGCACTTCAGAAAAGTGTCCAACTTACTCCAAGTAAATAATGACAGTCCCTTTGGGAATTCAGGAGGCCCTGCATGGTCGGCCTGCCTGCCCTCCTTTCTCTCCCCCGCTGCTTTCTCATGCCTCTCCTCCTCAGTACCCTACTCTAGACACACTGGCCTCCTCTGTGCTTCTCAGACATGCCAGACTCACCCCAGCCTCAGTTCCTTCAATCTGAACTGCTCTTCCCCAGAGATCCACATGGCTTGTTCCTCCCAGCCCATTTACTAGAAGCAAGCTGAGACTGGAGCTGTGGCCAAGAGCAGGCTCTTATCCTCTAACCAGGGAGAGCTACAAATAATCAGATGTGCTGCCTTTCCACGGACCCTTTCCCTGTTTCCCTCGGACCTCAGCACTTTTTTTCTCAATCAAGTTTTAATTTTTCTTCTTAGCAATTATCTAGCATGTAATATCTAACATGCAATATATTTTACTTTTGATAGTTCTTTCCCCAATGTGAAAACACTAGAACACCTCTCCAAGAAAACAATCTTATAACAGGACTTTCTCAGTGACCAGACTGTCCTCTAAGCGAAGTTTGAAGGCCCTAATATGTAGCAAGACGATTCAATTCTTTTATAGTGCAGAAATTTGTATTTGGGCATAATTGTTACGATTTATGTTTGAATTAGCATAGTATAATTGGCATGGCTGTCACTGTACACAATCCAGGAAGGGCTATTCTCTTTCTGTTGTCGATGAGTGGTGCACCAGGGACATGTATAATGTGGTGGCTATCGTCATCAGTGAGGCAAATCAAATGACGAATGGATGCTGTGCACGTGTGTGCTGGCCTGTGGCTACCTGCCTGGCCTCTCTCAGTAAGAACTTTGATTCCCCTCAGGCAGTCCGACCCCCATACAAGGGGCTGCCCTCTCACACGGCAGCTTCATGTACCAGAACGTGTAGTCTGGTCCTTGCCAGCTCCATTGTGGAGCCAGCCTAATGTCCTTCTCCTGAGCTGACAAGGCCAACTAGTGCTGACTACGGACATAAAGTCTTCTGGAACACTCACTACCCACCTTCCCCATGGCCATGAGCTGTGCTTTCCCTAAAATGGAGAGAACTTACTCCTTCTCACCCCCATGTTCTAGGCTCCCCTATTCTTCTCCATTGGATCTAGGGATAGAGAAAGGCAACAAGCCAACTGCAGTGTTATTCATCACTTCTAAGTCATATGGTCCAGCCATATATCCCACTTCTGGACACATATCCAAAAGAAATGGAAGTAGAGACATACACAGATATTTGTACAATCACGTTCATCACAGTACAATTCACAATAGCCAAAAAGTAGGAAGCAATCCAATTGCCCATTGACAAATAAATGGGTGAACAAAATGTGGCATGTACATATAATGAAATATTATTTGTCTTAAAAAGGAAGAAAATTCTGACACATGCTACAATATGGAGGAACCTGAAAGCCATTATGCTAAATGAAATAAGCCAGCCACAAAAAGACAAATACTGTATTATTCTCTCACTACAAAGAACTTCAAGTAGTCAAGTTCATAGAGACAGAAAGTGGAGTGGCAGTTTCCTGGAGCTGAGGGAGACAAAATGGGAATTAGTGTTTAGTGGAGTTTGGGAAGATGAAAATGCTCTGGAGATGGATGCTGGTGATAGTTGCACAATCATATGAATGTACCTAGTGCCACCGGACTGTCCACTTGCAAACGGTTGAAATAGTAAATTTTAATGTACCTTGCACTGCAATTTAAAAAATAGAAATTATTAACCCTAAAATAAAAGATTGATCAATTAAAATCACACAGTTATTGTTCATCAAAAGCCACCATAAAACAATCAACAAAGTAAAAAGACAACCCACAGAATGGGAGAAAATATTTGCAAACTATTCATCTGACAAGGGGTTAATAACCGGAATATATAAGGAGCCCAAACAACTCTATAGGAAAATATCCACTAATCCAGTTTTTAAATGGGCAAAAGATCTGAAGAGACACTTCTCAAAACAAGACATACTGGCAAACAGGTGTATGAAAAGGTGCTCAACATCACTGGTCATCAGAGAAATGCAAATCAAAACTACAAAGGGATATCATCTTACCCTGTTAAAATGGCTTTTACCCAAAAAACAGGCAGTAACAAATGCTGGTGAGGATGCAGAGAAAATGAAACTGTCATACACTGTTAGTGGGAATGTAATTAGTACAGCCACTTGGAGAGCAGTTTGGAGATTCCTCAAAAAATTAAAAACAGAGCTGCCATATAATGCAGTAATCCACTGCTAGATAATTACCCAAAAGAAAGAAAATCAGTATATTGAAGAGATACCTACACTCCCATATTTATTGCAGCACTATTCACAATAGCTAAGATTTGGAAGCAAATTAACTGTTCATTAACAATGGATAAAGATAGATAAAGAAAATGTGGTACATGTAGACAATGGAGTACTCTTCAGCCATTAAAAAATAAGATCCATCTGGGCACAGTGACTCATACCTGTAATCCTAAGGCTTCTGAGTCTGAGGCAGGTGGATTGCGTGAGCCCAGGCTGGACAAAATAGCAAGATCCCATACATGCAAAAAAACTAGCCAGGTGTGGGGGTGTACACCTGCAGTCCCAGCTACCCAGGAGGCTGAGGCAGAAAGATCACCTGAGCCCAGGAGGTCAAGGCTGCAGTGAGCCATGATTGTGTCACTGCACTCCAGGCTGGGAGACAGAGTGAGACCCTGTCTCAAAGAGAGAGAGATCTTGTCATTTGCAATAACATGTATGGAACTGAAGTCATTACATGAAGTGAAATAAGCCAGGCACATAAAGACAAATGTTGCATGCTCTCACTTAGTTGTGGGAGATAAAAATTAAAACAACTGAACTCATGGAGATAGAGAACAGAATGATAGTTATTAGAGTCTGGGACGGATAGTGAGGCGGGGGATGTGGGAATGGTTAATGGATACAAAAATAGTTAGAATGAATAAGATCTGGTATTTGATAGCCCAACAGGGTTACTATAGTCAGTAATAACTTAATTGCACATTTAAAAATAACTAAAAGAGTATAATTGTATTGTTTGCAACACAAAAGATAAATGCTTAAGGTGATGATACCCCATTTACCCTGATGTGATTATTAGACGTCATATCTCTGTATCAAAATACACCATATATCTCATAAATATACATACCTACTATGTACCCACAAAAAATAAGATTTTAAAACAAATTTTTAATTACCTTTAAAAAGCCTCAGCTGGGTGTGGTGGCTTATGCCTGTAATCCCAACACTTTGGGAGGCCAAAGAGGGTGGATCACCTAAGGTCGGGCGTTCAAAACCAGCCTGACCAGCATGAAGAAACCCCATCTCTACTAAAAATACAAAAAATTAGCCGGGCATGGTAATGCATGCCTGTAATCCCAGCTACTTGGGAGGCTGAGGCAGGAGAATGGCTTAAACCTGGGAGGCAGAGGTTGACGTGAGCCGAGATGGCACCATTGCACTCCAGCCTGGGCAACAAGAGTGAAACTCGGTCTCAAAAAAAAAAAGCCTCCATAAAAGTGAAAACACAAAGGCAGATATTTGGAAAACATATAAGCAACAAAGGATTAGTATAAAAAATTAATTTCTACATATCAACTTTTAAAAGGCAAACAAATCAAGAGAAAAATGAATAAAATACACGAACAGACATTTTATAGAATAGGAAACACTAAAGGCCCAAAGACATACAAAATGTGCTTAAACTTATTAGTGGTTAGGAAAATGCAATTAAGACCATGAGTTACCACTTTATACTTTCCAGTTTCACAGATCTAATAAGATTATTTATTTTCAATGATGTATGTAGCTCAAAGGGGACTCTTAAGTTCCACTGGTTGGAGTGTAAATTGGTATAATCATTCTGGAAGATAAGTTAACATTGTTTAAACCCTTATAGGCCCTATGACCCAGCTGTTCTACTTTTAGGTATGAAACCCTTATACTTTTAGAAATGCCTGTAAACATATACCATGTACAGGAATTTTCATAGCAGAATTGTCAAAGCAAAAAAATATAAAACAATTTAAATGTCCACTGTCAGCAGAAAAATAATTTTGGTAGAATCACATACTTTACAACAGTGAAAACAACAGCTATGTGCTACATCACATCTAATCTTATGAATATAATATTAAATCAAAGAGTATGTTTCAAACGGCTGCATCTGGTATAATATTTCTAACAAGTCCTAACGCAATATATTATTTAGAAATACGTATAAATATGTTACAACTTTTTTTAATGAAAGGGAACACTAAACATAAAATTGGGAATAGTAGTTGTCTCTGAATATGGGGAGACAGAATGGGACAGAAAGAATGCACACAGGCAGATGTTACGGTGTTGCTAATACAGTTAATAAGTTGGGTGGTGGGTTCCCAGGATTCAGTCTGTTGGAATACTCCACCACTTATATGTATGTTCCACATATCAAATATTACAAAAGTGTTTTAAAAGATAATTATCTTTACACTATACATCTTATACTATATACTTTACAACACAGAAGTGTTTTAAAAGATAATTATCTTTACACTATACAACTTATACTATATACTTCAATTATAAGTGGGTTAAAAACCCAAATGTGAAGGGCACTACTAATTAGGAAACTACTGAAAATGATCTTTTTAAATTGACAAAAGTTGTATATGTATCATGTACAACATGCTGCTTTGAAATACACATACATTATGGAATGGCTAAATTGAGCTAATCAACTTAGGCATTACCTCACATACTTTCTTTTTCTTGTTGTGAGAACCCTTAAAATTTACTCTTAGCAATTTTCAAGAATATAATACATTAACTATAGTCATCATACAGTACAATAGATCTCTTGAAATTGTTCTTTGAATCTCACTGAAATTTTGTATCCTGTGGCCAACATCTCCCCAAACTGTATCCCAACCCACAACCAGACCCTGGTAACCAACATTATATTCTGTTTCTATGAGTTTAACTTTTTTATACTCTGCTTATAAGTGATGTCAGGTGGTATTTTCTTTCTATGCCTCTTATTTCACTTACCATATTGTCCTCCAAGTTTATCCATGCTGTTGCACATAATAGGACTTCTGTCTTTAACGCTGAGTAGTATTTCATTGTGTACATATGCTACATTTTCTTTATCCATGCATCTATTTATGGACACTTAGGTTGATTCTGTATCTTAGCAACTGCAAACAATACTGCAGTGAACGTAGGAATGCAGATATCTCTTCTGCATACTGATTAATAATTTCATTTTCTTTGGATATATACCCATGAGTGGAATTGCTGGACCAAAAAATATCTTTATGACCTCAAAATAGGAAGAGATTTCTTAAGCCAGACACACACACATACGCATAGTGCATAAACCATAATTAAGTGGAATGATAAAAATTACTATATTAAGATTTAAAACATCTGTATCCAAAAGATTCACTAGACAAAGTTTAAAAAAAAAAGAAGAAAAAAAAAGATGGCTGGGCATGGTGGCTCACTCCTGTAATCCCAGCACTTTGGAAGGCCGAGGCGGGCAGATCATCGGAGGTCAGGAGTTTGAGATCAGCCTGGCCAACATGGAGAAACCCTATCTCTACTAAAAAATACAAAAATTAGGTAGGCATGGTGGCATGTGCCTATAATCCTAGCTACTCGGGTGGCTGAGGCAGGAGAATTGCTTGAGCCAAGGAGGCAGAAGTTTCAGTGAACCGAGATCGTACCACTGCACTCCAGCTTAGGTAACAGAGTAAGACTCCATCTCCAAAAAA